GGACGCGTCGACCGGGCCGTTTTGCTGGTCGGAAAGGGTTCCGGCGGTCGTGGACACGCATGTCGCCGAGTAGGTCACGCTGAAGATGATCATGACCAGGACCTGCCGAAAAAGGTTCCGAAATTGCGGGGTTGCATACTCGGACACCTTTTACTACTGTGAAGTGTAAGAGGCTGCTGCAGGCCACTGCAGGTAACAGGTCAGGAAGCCTTCCTGCAAGGGTAGCCCCTCTTCCTACTTCTCACATAGATAGTGCGGGGTCTACACTTTTGGACACTGCATTTTTGTGTCAAGCAATGCCACTTGGCAGGGGGGTACTTATGGACCGATGAAATTTCACGTGTCGACTATTGTTTCCCGTAGTAAAAAGCATGAAGAACGGGATAAAAAAAAAAGAAGCAGAGGGGACTGTGTGGGGGGTTGCCTACCCGGACCTCCCGTAAGGCGCAATTGTAATTTTGATGGCTTATAAAATCTGCCCGAAGGTAAATTTTCGATGCCTCATCGGGTCAAATACTTTATTTAGTCCATAAGTAGGTAGCTTGACACAAAAATGCAGTATCCCCCCTTGTTCAGAGAGTTAGACCCCGCACTAAGAGGCTGTGAGGAGAGGGTCCGGGACGATACACTGTAATTTTGGGGTGTCTCAAATGTATACGCCAAAAGGCGTTTGCTACAGGATCCCGAGCGACATTTGGCGTATACTTTTGAGACGCCTTTTGGCGTATAGATTCTAGACATCTTTTCCCATACCATTCCCACAGCACAGCCCAGGCTGCCCGTTCATGCAGATGCAAGGGTGTACAGGATGTGAGCGCCTTTCAGGGTGTATGTATCAAAGGGCCTCTGCTGTGCTGTGGGAACGGTGTGGGCAAAAGTGTCTAGAATCTATACGCCAAAAGGCGTCTCAAAAGTATACGCCGAATGTTGCTCGGGATCCTGTAGCAAACGCCTTTTGGCGTATACATTTGAGACACCCCGAATTACAGTGTAGGCGCACTCGAACGCACCTGCCAGCTGGTGATGGCGGAGGCCATGCAGCCCATGTCCACCAGCACCATGTGGCGCACCCGTAACCGCCGCCAGCAGAACTCGTCGCGAGGGCTGCTCGCACGCCAGGGGTCCCGGAGCTCGGGACACCCTAGGATGTCACCGTGGGGGTCCCGGAGCTCCGGACACACTAGGGTGTCCCGAAGGGTGTCGCCGAGGCTGCCGTCGAGGCTGTCCGCGGGGTTGTCCATGCCCCTGACACCCTTGCTGGCGGCTGGGGCTGTGCTCCTCCGGCGTGCGGACCACGCCAGCCGGGCTTTGTCGTTGCGCATGGCCGCGACGTGCTCGTTGTGGTCCGGGACCCAGGCGCCGGCCGCGCGCAGGGCGCGGAGGCAGTCCTGGCGCAGATCTCGCGCGAGCTGTCCCGTGATGCCGGAGAGGGTCAGGGCGTAGAGCTGCAGCCCGCCGGAGTACACAGCCCACACCGCGGCGTCGAAGGCCGGCTTGGCATTTCTGTGAGGAACACCATCAGCCTCACTTCCTACGGCCGGCGTCGATCAGAATTACTTGGATCCACACTCACTCATCGGCCCAAAAGTTGTCCGTCAACGCGTGGAATACGGTATGCCAGATGCAGAACATCGCGATGCCGAGCAGCGCCCTCCAGCCCCGGGGCGAAAGCGGGTGCGAGGCGCAGTACAGGCGCAGGCACTGCACCAGGGCGCACAGCTCGCCGCGGCGCCGGCAGCGCTCATACCCCTCCACCGTCCGGACAAAGGCGTGGTAAGAGAAGAGCGCGGTCTGCAACCGGACGAACCGGACATTACGTGGTCACCTGGCTTTGACCTGTCCGTGTCCGCTTCCGGGGCGCAAGCTCGCTTGGCTACCAGACGACCATTTTTTACAAGTGTTCGGAACCAGAGGTGTGCATGCGAGGCAGACTCCTGCCTCGCGCTGCCTCGCAGAATCGGCCGCGAGGCAGCCGCTTCGGGAAATGGCTCCCATCTTCGGAAGTATTCGGGACTGGACCGCGCGAGGCAGCCTTGCTGCGAGGCAGCGCGATTCACTGTGCCTCGCGCACCATGCGCCACTAGCTGCCACCCTCTTTTTAGCGTAGCCAGCCAATGGCAGTGCCGATGGCTTGGCGGGAGAGGTGTTGGTGGACACTGCTCATCTCCAGCTCAGCTCTGCGAGGCACCGCCTGCCTCGCACATTGCGAGGCTCGCAGGTCCGGGGCGAGTGCGAGTCGAGGCAGGCGCGAGGCAAGGGAAAATCGGCTGCGAGGCAGCGCGAGGCAGAATTCTGCCTCGCGTGCACACCTCTGTTCGGAACCGGGTCCTGCGCTACAGTAGACAGGAAGCGAAGGAAAGAAAAGTTTGCGCCGGCCGGGAACTGAACTCAGGGCGACACTTTCGGAGACAAGATTCGATCACAGAAAAACGCGGCGCGGCCGGGTGTTGAACCCCGACCCCGAGCTGCTTGTTCCGAGGGTCGGCGCTTTAGCACGCTCGGCGCCTGGGCCACCAGCCCGATCGATAGTCCGGGACTCGGTTTTGCTGTAGAAAAGACAAGAAGCCACGAGAAAAATGGCGCCGGTCGGGTGTTGATCCCCGGGCCGTTACCTTGAACACCGTGTTGATCGGTCTCATCGCCAAGTCTATGCCTCCGCCGTTCATGTTCATGTACAAGGACGTGGACAGGAACACGGGCCAGGCCAGCGCGGCCGGCCAGGGCCTGGGGTCAGGCCTCCACAGCCAGCCTCGCACGGGCAGCATGCCGAGCAGCGTGGAGCTCACGCTGAAGAGCGCCCACACCAGGACCGTCAGCGCCCGGCACGGCATCGCCCTACAAAAGTTTAATCCATGCCGCTGACCTGAGTTATTGTAAATGACGATGTTCCAAGCAGCAGTGCCGGCGTTGTCTGCCCGACCGTTCTTTCTTACCGCTCGCCTGAAGCCCGTACGTCGTGGGGCACACAACAGACCGTGCGAGACTGCCGTGCTGGCGTTGACTGGTCGCAATACTCATAATAGTTTCGTCTCCCTAACCACCGCCGCGTTCGATCGCCGTCCACTGGCAAACAGGCGCGGACGATGTAGACACAGGCAGCATGGGCGCGCATTGCCCCCCCCCCCCCCCCTGCCGTCTCTAGACAGCCGCCTGAAATGTAGGCAATTTGCGCTACAAGACCCCTGTATGTAGGCAACCGATAGTGCATCGCGTCTCCTGTCAGCTGGACTTTAATCCGCGCCTGCTGGCAAAGACGAGGGAGAGAGAAGGGTTGGGAGAAGGTTAGGGAAAGGGCGAGGTGGAGGGGAGGGAAACAACATCGCAGTCTGCGTCGAACAAACACAACAAAGCAGAAAGGCGGGCTGAAGCGATTCGCGTTCGCACTGGAAGTCCGAACTACTATGTAATATATATGTATACGCTCAATAATACAGAGATATTCTAAACTGCATGAGCACGAAGAGATACGTCGTAGTAGTCGCTAAAATCTGCAACAACC